AAAAAAAAAAAAACCTTAATATTTATTGTTTACTTTATTAAACATTTTTTCAATGTACGTTGTTTAAGTTGCTTCATTTTATGTGATAATACTTTCTCTTTAATTCTATAAACAGACATAATTTCTTGTTCAGTTACAAAGTCCCGCTGTTCAAGTCCCGTATAATTGCTGTGTCCGAGAATACCGACTAACTTTGTCAATCGAAATTTTTTCGTTTTCACTAACCTCTCTGTCAATTCTTCATGTCTTTATCCATTTTTGCAGCAATTGCACTTTTTGTTTGTTGGACATCGAAACATACTTTCGTTTTGTAGATCCTTTGGAAGTTGCAGCATCGGAAATTCTATTTGACATAATCAAAAGTTCAAGTTTACTTTTATAAAATTGCCCTTACAGTCTGCAAAAAATAATAAGCCAAATCCAATTCAAAGATTAAGGAACAACGCAATCATTAACATTAACTGAAATAGATAATTAGATAATTTTAGCTTACACCGTCTGTTATACATTAAACGCGCAGGCGAAAACGTATTCTGCACTTGCGCACATGCATATGCGCAGTAGTCAAGGTTTTACGTGCACGCGTAAAACGCCTGTGCGCATGTGCCAACGCGGAAAGTTTTTATCTTTGAGGTCCGGATTATAGATCATTCCGGATTATGGGTGTCCGAATTAACGACTTTTGACTGTAATTGAATTTTGTGTTTTGTATTGAATTCAGTAATAAATTCTATTTAAAATGATATATACAAGTGTGCATTTTGTGAAACGTAACGTTTTCTATAAGCATACAAAGTTCAAAAACATAAAAATTTCCAAAAGTGTCCACAATTTTGGTCACCACTGTAGGTGCTCTTACAACAAAAAGACACTATACACTTAAAAACAGTCCTGCCTTCTCAGAAATTTATACTCAACAGGAATTCGAAATCAGGTCCAAGGCTTTTCTATTACCATGCCAACAAAGTGGAATTTACTTTAATTCTTTAGTTTAAAAAACTATTTTGATTGTGTAATTGGTATAAATTTGGCGCATGCAGTAAATCAAAAGTAACAATGAAAGAATTAATATCCAGATTTTTATTTATTTATTTTGTTACTTTTGATTGTTATAGTCAAAAATAAAATGTTTTCGGAAAGCATGTTATGTTTCCATCAAAAATTTATAATGCGGAAATTCGTACACAAATTATCCTGGGTTGAATTTTTAGCAATATGTGTATAACTGGAATTTTAGTATTATATATTAGGATATATATATGTGATATTTCTAATATGTAGTTGTGCCACCTTAGTAGAAAGATGACGCCGACACAAAATGAATTTGATGAATTCCCAATCTTTATTTTCATGCATATAAAATCATCTCGGTAGATATTTATCCAATCATAATGCATTTTAGACGGGGAATCAAAGCAGTGTGCATGTACTCTAAGCTATGATTGGTTAATCTCAGGTTGTTATATAACATAGAAGGATATCAAATTTGGGAGACTAGATGAATTAAGGAGGGAAAGCACCAAATCTAGAATCATTAATTTTCAGGTCGCCAGTTATTTTTAAAGCAGCTATCATATTTCTTACGTATATGCTTTCATTAGGCACTAATCAAAACTAATTCGTAACTGTAGTGACGTACAGGTTTGCCATTTTAGCTTCATTGGCGAAACTAAGAAACCTTGCTGAGAAAGTAATGGCTCAAAAGGCTAAAATTTGGAACAAAAAGATGGAATTTTGAAGCCATAAGAAAAACTTTAAAAAATATTTCAATGATTTCTTTTTTTTTTTTTTTTTTTTATTTTAGATAAAGAAAAAGATTACTTTATTAATTGAATGAAATTTTAAGTAAATTGACTCTTTAAAACAAAATTAGGAATAAAGAAGTATTCACTGTTAGATTTTAACATACTTTTCTTCATCTAGGAGTATTCACTGTTAAATTTTAAAATCAATTAATCTTAAAGAAATGAAACTAAAAAAGGTGCCTAAAAAGATTTTATCCCCCCAACCCCGAAGAACTGGCATTGAAGATGATTGAATTCTTCTGCTGTTATGCTAAATTTTCATTAAATTTTTTTAAATGGGGTTTTGCTTGTTTGAAAAGTATTGGTTTTAACATTTTTAAAACTCTTTGTTGCATTTATAAGATTATTTGAAATTTATTAATCATGAATTTCAATTTTTGGTTTTTGTGATAAATTAGTTCTAAATTTTTTAAATAAATAAATGTCTTTAATGATAAATTTTCAGCAGCTTAATGCCAGAAATACTAGGCATGGTTATATTTTATATATATATATATGTATAGTGATAGTGATTCAGTGCTTGAAACATTTTAAACACATCATTATAAATATGTTTAAATTTAACGTGACTTGTAAAGTTGAAGGATATTACAGAGAGCTAATATGTTTTAAAAAAGATTTTGCAACTAAGCTCAGTTTAAAGGAATAAATTGGAAGAAAAGTATGTTGATTTTATTTAGTGTATTTGAAATGTTTGGCAGATCACTGATATCTTCATATGTGCAAAACCTTAACTAAAAGAGAAAAACTTTTTTTAAAGTAGTCACTTGCCGGTGCAGGCATTTCTGCCAACATTGAGAGACAGTGAAGCTTCCTCTTCATGTCTAGTTCCTGAATACCCAGAATAATTGCTGAAAGAAAAGACCTTAATGTACCTTATTTAGCAGACATTCCCTGATTCTGAACAAAAAGTCTTGATCCGTAAGTTTCTACTAATAGGAAGTTTGATTGCATTACAATCAATTTAAAATTAAAAAAATTAGGAAGTAAAATTGAGAAATATTTTAGTATTTTTACATTACCACGAATTTTTACTAGTACTAAGGCACACTGGAAGATAATTTTAGAGCATTTCATACTAATTACATTTTCTCATTTATAGTTTTAAAATAATTAAGCAAATGAAAAAGCTTCATCTAGGAGTATTTGCAGTCTTTTATTAATATGTGTAGGATAAAACTTCTCTGCATGGTTACGGCATACTAAAAATGGCCATCTCCTATTTAGCTGCATTTGTTTTTGATACATTATCTATTCTTCAAACTATGAAACTTAATTATGGTACATAGGCAACCCAAAATGGCAAATACTTATCAAAATTTTGAATAGAATTTACAGTTGTAAATAAGTTATAAGAAATTGCCAGTTTGCCTATAGCTATTCACATCTTCTGAACTGAAAAAAACCTAATATTTCTGTTAATTCTTTGTTGCAGCAGTTATTTTATATTGAGGTGAAACCAACAATGTAAATTTCACATTAACCACTCACTGAGTTTATCATCACAGAAATGAAGTGGGTCTAGTATGATATTCCCAAGTGCACCAGATATTGATTGTCATCATGTGACTCTGTACCTCGACCACTTCTACACCCACACAAGATCATAGATCATACCTTATGTCAAGCTACTGCACCAGTCCACACCATCACTTAAGGGCCGGTACTCACATCAGTTTAGAATCTTGTTGTTAACATGGCTTATTTGTTGAAAATAAGGAAGCTTTGCTAAGTGGTCTGATGTTTGTATCACAAATTTAGATTACTTACGAATATCTGGAACTACATATTATTGCAAACAGTTTAGTAAAAGATATCAAATTTTTAGGATATACTAAACTCTGGCAATCAGGCACATAACCATTCTTCAGACAACAGAGCCAGCACTACTGGCCTTAGCTCTGTCATGCACCCATGCTCATAACAAGTCCTTCAGTCAAGTAATATTTTCATTTTCATGTGCATTCTTTTTGTTAGATTCTAAGTTCTGATAACTGTTGTAGACAAATTGTGAGATTAAAAAACATTTTTTTAACCTCAATTTTAAAATATCCCTTGTGAAATTTGCCAGCAGTGGAAGAAAATGCAGCCAAATTTCTGTAAGAATATAGTATTTTGCTGCTATGTTAAAGAGAACAATGATGAAATGTGTTTGGTAGATAACCAGTGAGCAATGTCAAGTTTCGGCCACTCTCTGATGCATTTTAAAGCAAAAACAGGTCACAGTGCTCACGGAGAGAGGAACAGCACTAAAAAATGTGCGTTTTTTTAATGAACCACATAATCTGTATTTAATAATTAAAGTTTGCATTTTAAGTCTTAAAGTGTGTTTTCATTTGATGTGTCAATAATGTTTGCTGTTCTGCAATAAATATTGGTAGTTTGAGAATTAAAAAAGTCAGAAAAATTACCAACTTATATCCAATAAATTGGTTTTACCTTAAAACCTGCAATCATTTACAGATGTAATGTTTACATCAGTAAAAAAACTGCTAAATTGCACTGAGATTGTTGCGTTAATGTATCAGTCCTTTGTATCATAAAAGTTTATGCAGGGATGAAAAACTAAACCTATTAGCAATTACTATTGAAAGATCGGGAAATACTAAAGATTTCAAATGAATAGAAGCCCCAAATTAAATACAAATAAAAGCAGAATTAGAATTGAAAATAAAATAAAAGATTTGAAACAAGTTTAATAGTGTCTAAGAAATTTAACACATCAAGAAAGCTATCAATTATGACTAGATAAAGAAATTAGCTCACTACTTTAAATACCCCCCTCAAAAAGAAAACTTTTTTTTCCCCTCTCCCATTTTCCCTTTAGGAATCCTTTTTAAAGCTGTAAAGTGAGCTTCTTTTAATTTTGCTATCTCTAATTCATGAAATTTAGAGAATGTATGTTTAATTATGTCTTTTTATATAAGAATTTTATTTTATTATGATGAAATTCATGCATCTTGAATTTTATTTCACTATTTCTTCTGTTTATTGTTTTTTCTTTCCTTTTCCTTTTTTTTTTAGAGAGATAATGTTTTAATTTTTATTACTAGTTTGGTAAAATAAATTATTTTGCCTTCAGATATAAAAAATAGAATAATATGAAGTAAATTGCATTTATAACCTCATAACATAATAAAATTATTATCCATATGTAATAAAATTATATATCCATATATATATTTATAATTACAGAATGATGGTTGTATCATCTTTGCTACCAGAGCAATTGTGGAACTGCAACACTTTCTAAGAAAAGAGTTCAAAGATGATGTTACAATATGCACTTTATGTCAAAATATAGTATTCCAAGTACGTATTTGATTTTATGAAGAAATTTTTATACTACTGTGTTAATCTCTAAGTGGGAGGAAAATATTGTTACGTTTTTCCTTTTCTGACACCAGTTGTTGCGTTATTTTCTTCATTCACGTTCGTACGGGGTTCGTGGATTCGGAGTGAATAACGACAACACTTGATGAAGTATCGAAACACACTTTATTTAGCCAATATTAATCAGGACAGCTCTAAAAACACTTTTTACAGTTGTCGGAGATCTACTATAAATACGCTGGAACAATCAGCGACACAGCCTTCACACTGTCAGGTAATAACAGTGGAGACAGCTTCACTGCAAAGCATCAGAGTACAGCTTCCAACTGTTTGGTCGCTCTTAGAACTCCACGTACTCTCGCGACTCTCCACGCAATGCATTCGACGATACACAAGAGTATAGCTTTCGACTCAGCACAGTCTAAGACAAAACTTGACGATGCACTAATTCGCGATACACTAAAAGACTCTCTCGATGCATTGGACGGCCAACTCGGCGCTAGACTTCGAGAAACTCGCTCAATGACTGACTATCAGCTCACTAGACGAGGCACACACACTCTCGATGAGAGACACACACTAACTGACTGCAGACCTGCAGGGTTCATATAGCTTTCGGCTTGAGTTCGAGAACATTCTGGTCTAAACCGGTAAGAATTCGTTCCAGAAATTTCTCCATCCGTCCATGGGACATGGCCAATTTTGTCGCCAAACGGGCGATTTCTCGCCAAATATGGCAACCCTACCTTCCTTTGCCATTTTATGGCAACCCTAAAACTGCTTTGCGGGGAAGCTATCTTACCGCGCCTTTACATTTCGTAACACTGCCCCCTCCCAAGGTTTGCACGTCCCGTGCAGTACAACCCTTGGTCAGAAGCATAATTCGATACAAACAAAAGGCTCTAAAACAAACAAATAATATAACTAAAGAAGCAAATATTTACACTGTATACAAGTTATATACACAAATTAGGTAAAAAAAAACTCATGTACAAGAATTATGGGTACCCAAGATTGCAAAGCATTATAAAAATTTAAAAAAAAAAAAAAAAAAAAAAAAAAAAAAAACACCGGTTACATATAGTGAAATAAATGTAAAAAATGGGAACTACCATATTTATTTATTACGTGCTTCACCAGTATGTACCTTACGGAATGAGAAGCACTAAGTACTATGGCCATAGTATGGGGCTAATCTGTCGTAATGAACTACCTTGGGTTTTGAATTGGGGATTTACGGATCTGTATCACAACGTCGTTCAATCTGTTGAGGATTGTATGGGACCCTCCCAATGCGACTGCAGTTTGGGAGAAACACCCTTATGACGACTTGGATTTCAGAGCCCAAACCTTGTCGTTTTCCTGGAATTGATGCTCGGTGGCTCTTGCGTCGTATCTCTTCTTCATCCTGTCCGTCAAGATGTTGATCCGCTCTCGAGCAAACCTGTGTACTGTTTCCAACCGGGCCTGGAGGTCTTGCACATACTTGTCAGGCGAGGAATGTACATCCGGAGGGCGGCCAAAGAGCAGGTCACTTGGCAGACGGAGATCGCTACCGAAGAGCATCTGGGATGGAGAATAGCCGGTGCTTTCGTGGACGGCACTACGGTAAGCAAGCAGGAACAGGGGTAGCTTGCAATCCCAGTCTTCTTGGTTTTTGGAAACCATGAGCAAGAGGTGGTTCAGGATTGTACGGTTAAACCTCTCCACCGTGCCATCAGACTGCGGATGTAACGGGGTCGTCTGCGTTTTCTTGATTTCCAACAAGTCGCAGAGTCCCTTGAACACAGCCGAAGTGAAGTTCCTGCCTTGGTCGGAATGAATCTGGAGAGGGGGTCCCAAATCTGGACACCCAATTCTGTAACAGAACTTCAGCTGTCGTGAAAAGCCTCTTGATCTGGAACTGGGTAAGCTTCGGGCCACTTTGTAAAGTAATCCATGACAACGAGGGTGTATTTGTTGCCATCCGTGGTCCGCGGAAAAGGTCCAAGTATGTCGAGGGCAATTCGCTCGAAAGGCGCTCCTACATTGTATCCCTGCAGCCTTCCTCGGCTACGTCCCTTCGGTCCTTTCCTGGCTGCACAAACATCACAAGATCAGCACCACTTCTCAACATCGTTTCTCGACAAACTCCAGAAAAAGCGCTCTCGAACCTTGTTTAGTGTCTTCATACAGCCGAAATGCCCTTTGGTTGAGCTGCTGTGTATTTCCTTCAGAACATCAGGTATCCGGTTTCGAGGAAGCAGCAGCTGCCATCTCTTATTACAGGGTTGCCACTCAAACAGGAGAATGAAATTACCTGACTTTTCCAGGTTTTCAGGTGTGTTTCAAGAAAAAATTCCAGTCCGCAAATGTACGTTGGCTGTGCTAAGAGGAAATTAATTATGGTATTACTTGTATTGGAGCAGATTTTAATTATCAATAAATCCAGAGGAATTATTCTTAATTATTCTTGGTTATACTTTGATTTTGTTAGTTTTCCACTTAAGAAACTTAAAAATTTAAGATATAACATTGGATACAAATGTATGTTTTTTTAATCAGGGTTTCCACGCTACTGGAAACCGGGGGAGAACCGGGAAAAAAGTCATGGAGGGGGGGGGGGGGGGGGGGGGGGGGGGGGGGGGGGGGGGGGGGGGGGGGGGGGGGGGTGGGGGGGGGGGGGGGGGGGGGGGGGGGGGGAATCGAAAAATTGACCAAAAAATTCAGGGAAAAGTCAGGGAATTAAGTATTTTTGTCAAAATCTGGAAAAGTCAGGGAAGTTCATACAACGATCCCGCCAAAAAAAAGCGATTTTTGCGCCGACGTCGGAAGAGATAACTTTTTTGGCGAATTGCCTATCACGTGAGTGTCTTCTGGCATAGAGCCAATTTTCGCAGCTCCAATTTGATTGCCTTTTAGAAAGGCAAAGCAAGCAAGTTTCCCGCAACTTTTGGTTTCGAGTATTCTCGAGAATCGCATGTGCAGTGCATGAACTAAAGAAAGTACCTGTTCTCGTATAAAACAAAATGGGTTTAATCTTAGTATACGGTACCATGGAGGTTAGAATCAAAGAATATGTATTGTAAAGAAGGAAAACCTCTCTGCAACAGACATGGCTCCGTTCCATCATAGAGGGAAACAGCTATGCATGCGTGATATATCTGCCGCCAAAGCTGGAAACCGGTGTCGAAGTTTCGAAGGTCACGTTATCAAGAGTTCATTAAATGAATATCCTTTAAAATTTCTTTAACCACTTGCGCTAAAAAGACGTGCCACGCACGTCGAGATGTTTTTGTCTCAAACTGAGAGCGACGTGAAACACCACGTCGATAAGCATTTATCGCAAAAATGAAAATAACATGGTGCACACGTCGCCTAAAACGAGATTGTTTATTTCTCGAGTTACAGCTCTGGATTGCACTCGCAGATGTGGAGCGGCGTAAATGAGACACTTTACCACTTGCTATATTGTAGTGCACGGCACAAGAAAATATTTTTTGGCGCAAGTAAATTAATTCATAGGTTAGTAATTTTCAGGGGGGGGGAAACTACGAAAATCCGTTTTTAAAATGATTGCGAAAAATCCAAGAAGAAACGTTTGGATTTTTCGCAGTAATTTAAAAACGGATTTTCGTAGCTTTCTTTTTGTCAAAGAACGTTTCTTCTTAACACGTTTCTCAATTTCCGGTACACATCGCGGAGAGGGAATTTCTGGCCGCCAGGTTCCGTCGCCAAATCCCTTGGCAAATTTTCCCTCCGCATTCTAGCGGCGTAATAGCATTTTACTTGTATGGAAAATTTTCTTCTTTACATAGACCAAAGAATTAGAGTTCTTTGCATAGACGTTTTTTGGTTAAAATAATCTCCATGTATGGATTTGGCGACATGATGATGCGCAGTAAACGGGTCATTTTGGTCTTGGTGACAATTTTCAAAATCGTGCCAAAGCCTTACCGTATACTAGAATTTTACCGCAAAATCTTTTAAAACTTTTCTTTTTAATAAATACCTTGCCATTTTGCAGTAAAATAAAAAATAGTAATCTGTCATCTAGGCTAACCATGTAATATAACTATATTCGCTAAAATATCGTTGACTATTCTAATTCAATTTTTAAGTAATTATCTAGCGTGGCAACCCTGTTATTAGTTCCATGGTCACTTTCCCATAGTCGATATAAGACTCCATTTCGGAAGTGGAATGAATCCGAGAGAGCCCAGTACCTTTTAGTTGCAGGACTGAAAATGGAAATGTCCTGCCACTTGGTTTTTGTACTGGATGATTCCTTCAGTTCTATTATTGGCCTAATGTCAGGATCCGCTGATTGGTCTTCTCTAACTTTTTCATCACTGCACGGTTCTGGATCAGTTGATGTTGAAGGTGTTACTTGCCGGATAATCGAATTCGCCAACCTGTACTTAGCCTTGGCTCTTGAACAATGGCTGCAGTGTGCAGGACAAGGTTTCCTGGATAACGCATCAACATTTCCGTGGGAGGAGCCTTTACAATGTTTTTATCTCAAAGTCATATTCCTGGAGTCTTTGAATCCATCTGGCTATTTGTCCTTCAGGATTTTTGAAATTCAGTAGCCAGGTTAGAGAAGCATGGTCAGTCCGCAATAAGAATTTTCTGCCATAGAGATAATGATGGAAATGTTCTATAGCCTTTACGATAGCAAGCAATTTTTTACGGGTGACGCAATAATTCCTTTCCGGTTTGGACAAGCATTGACTCCAGTAGGCTATTACTCGCTCTTGACCATTAATCATTTGAGAAAGGACAGCTCAAAACTCGACGATGCACTAAAAGACTCTCTCGATGCACTGGACGGCCAACTTGGCGCTAGACTTCGAGACACTCACTCAATGACTGACTATCAGCAAGGCATACACACTCTCGATGAGAGACACACACTAACTGACTGCAGACCTGCAGGGTTCATATAGCTTTCGGCTTGAGTTCGAGAACATTCTGGTCTAAACCGGTAAGAATTCGTTCCAGAAATTTCTCCATCCGTCCATGGGACATGGCCAATTTTGTCGCCAAACGAGCGATTTCTCGCCAAATATGGCAACCCTACCTTCCTTTGCCATTTTATGGCAATCTTAAAACTGCTTTGCGGAGAAGCTATCTTACCGTGCCTGTACATTTCGTAACAATATAACACAGCTTAGTAAGATTCCTAGGCTTAAACGAAAAATGTAATAATAATGAAAGATGACAATAAATGCTACTCTTGTGCAATAGTCAGACTCAAAATCTGTTCCTCCCAAAGTCCTGAAGCATCCATATTTATAAATTTCTGTTTGAAAGAAATTCTTCTTCATCCATTTCTCTTCAATTAAATTTATTCAAAAAATGTCTTGGAACTGGATTTCCTGAAGGCATTTCACATCTAAAAAAATCTTTTAGCTCTAGTTAATGTTCCCAATTTCGCTTTGACTAATCACTTTTTACCGTCAAACTGTTCAATAATTTGTTTTTTAGTTGCTTTCTGTTCACTTTTCAGTCTATAGGTGGCACTAGTGGCTTTGCTTTCTGTCATTTAGAATATTCTCAAATTTCTGTCTATTGCTTTCACTCTAGCAGTTGAAGAAGAAGAGTTTTGAAACTAGAGTAAATTTTCACATGTTACGCCAATTGTTTTTTACTTGTTGATCTTCAATGTCTTTTTTTAGGGAGGATTACATGTGTTTAATTTAAGGTTTTTGTATTTATTCTCTTATGACATAATTTCAGGTCAGATGTTTAATCTTTTTATATCAAGTCTGAGCTAGGTAACTATTTATAAACAACATGGTAAGCTTTAGATGCACTGTATGGTAAAATTCTTCAGAATTTGCACCATGCAATTATTTTGTAATTTCATTTTTTGGGTGAAAAAGGCATCAATATATTTCTACACTTTTTAAGAAGGTGCATTATTTTTATTTAACAACAGGAACAGGTGCTTAATTTTGACCAAAATTTGCAAATGATAATTAATTTTATTCAGCTGACATTTACATCCATTTTCTGTGACTACTATTCTAACAGAATTAACATTTTGGATGAATATATAAGGTGGTCATGTAAAAAAACTTCCTCGATATGAACCCTTAATAGCCTATTCACTGAACCAATAAAAATTTAATTTCAGATATTGTCATTTGAAGGTATGCACTCAAGATTATGATTGCAGACAATGTAGACAGATGTCTTGCTTTGCACATGCTAAGTTTTTCTGTGTGCAGGGCAGAAAATCAATTTGAAACAATAATCTCTCAAGATTATAGTCACAGTGAAAAATTTTGAAATTTTCAAATGGCAACACTTTTTTCCTGCAAAACTTGATCACTCCATGACAAAACTTAAATTATATGATAGATGCATGACAAAAACTGATGGCATAAAACATTTCTAAAGAAGAGCATTTTAAAGGACCAATGACAGCACAGAGAGGAGGTACATTAATACATTTTGCATAATTCACAGGGATAGACAGTAAAAGCACCAATCACAGAACACCACGTGCAAAGCCATGACGGGCATCCCATATACGCATTCCCTAAGAACGTCTCTTACAGCCGGGCGTCCCATAGCCATGACCGAGCATTGCCATCCATTAGCAAAAGCTCTGGGCCAATAACACCCCTAAACAGTGTAACTTAGAGTTCTAATACCTCGTCCACATACTTCCAAGCAGTTACAGAACATCCTTGAAAGATATGTTGCTTAGTGCAGCTATTTGTCATTATTCCTTTCCAAATCATTAACCTATGGCCACTGAAAAGGGATATTTCATGGACAAGGACAATGGAAGGCAAGTTGCGTGTTCCTTCATTTCTCCATATCAAAGCACATCTAGAATCACTGTTCAGACTATATCGGAAGTTAGTAAATGATACTGAGGCCTAGTTGTCTTGGCGCCAATGAATATGATGATGGCACCAGTTTAAACAGGCCCCTCTGGGAGCTGGAAAGAGTGGCACACAAACCATTGGTTTTCTTGCATACAGTCTAACCTGTTAAGCTTTTAAACAACAGTAGAATGCCTAATTGGAGTTCCCGTGGTAGCATGAAGGTCTAAAACCAAATCTCTTGTAGTTGCTTTGCAGTTTCTTTGAGCCAACAACGACGGAAAATGGTCTTCTGATGCAGGTGTCGATCTTGGTTGTCCTTGACTAGGCTATCTATCAACTGAACCAGTGTTTAAAAAGCAGCTCCAAACTCTTGATATGACACTTTGAGGACTATTAAGATCTTGGGCGACCTCAATCCGTGTTCGACCTCTCTCAATTCTACTAATTATTCACCACTTTTGACCTTCACTCAAATGATGCGTTTAAACCATAACTACTGAATATGGATCGCTCTCAGAAACCGCAACACTACAGACTGGAATTCCAACATGTATCCAATCACCGAATTTGTGTATTTCCAGCACCATCGTATGTGCAATTTTGTGTTCAATTGTATTTGATTAACACGTTGACTGCCGCACTCATTTGATGTGGTTTGTCCATGATGCCAACTTGAAATTTTTATTATGTGATGTATATTATGTTGAAATATTATGTACAGAAGATAATATAAGTTATATAATTGTGATTAATGCATTTTCCATTGTGGGGGTCACCAGGTGCTGTAGACCATTATTGCGATTTATAATTTAAATTTTTACAAATTATTATTCTTCGAACCATTATATTATTTTAAATAGTACCATTTAACAATGGTACTATTTAAAAATTTATCAGTATCGATATTTACTCTATGTATTTTACTATTGGTTGCGTCACCGGTGGCACCCACGGTGCTGTAGCCAAGTCGAGTGCCGGTCACCGATGATTCCCATGGCAGCCAACATGTTAACATAAATAAATATAACATTGGGCACTAGTTGCAACATTAACTTAGCATATTTTTTCTCATTACCCTGTAATTTTGATGACAGTTTTAAATTATTCCTATGAGCATTATATGTTCTTTGGGATATATCTACTGTTATTTTGGAGTCTATTTCCTCAACTATACTGATTATTGTACTATTTCTTTTACTGACAAAACTGCCCCTATAAAAAAAAAATTTCCATAGCTCCCCTGTTTGGTTGATGATTATTGTTTAAGGGAAAATAAGCACACTTCGTAGGACAATGATTTTGTTGGCAAATATGGCAGGACCCTTCTTTTTTATCACTAATCTGAGTCATATTCTTATTTTCTAGTTTAGTTAAATGATTTACATTGCTAGCAGGTACATAATCAGTAAATTTTTTTTGACAAATCCTTAATAGCTTTATTATTTTGCATTTGTTTTATTATTGATGTATTTATCTCAGGGGAGTAATCGTATGTTTGAACTCTGACTCCTAAAGTGATTTTTCAATATTCTTTTGCTTATCTAACCAGCAGTGCCAAAATCCATAGGGCCAAATTTTTTTACCTCCAGTCTGAAATATGTTTGAAGTACTTCAATGCATTTTGAAAGCATAACTTTTTAAGTGAGGTTATGCACCTCCTCGCTCGAACTGTGTATTATTGGTACATGTTGTATAATCGGAACAAAACAATATGATTTTTACTACTTTTTTTTAATTTTTCAAAATTTATTTCATTTTTATGTACTTTATTTATTTTAGGGCGATATTTGTACGTCTTGTAGAAAGAAAATTCATCATCATTGCAGAAACAAATATTTTTCTGGTACAAGAAATTCAACATGTCCCAGTTGTAAGGTTGAATGGAAATAAGTGCTCATGTTTTTTCTATCATAATATATATATTCTGTATGTAAATAAATATCTATACACAATTTATAAATCATAATACATAAATTTACATCAAATATTTTACATGAACATAAATGAAATATTAAATGCATTTTATGCTTTCACTACTGGTTGAATTTTCAAACAAGTTATATTAAATGCATCTCCAGCATATTTTGAAACCAGTTCTAACATGGCAAGTTTCTTCTGTGTGCATCGAGATGATTCCAGCTCATAAAGTGTACATATATTAAAAAGAATTCCATCATGAAGACAGGAAGAGGGACTACTACGAATTGTCTTTTCCAATAAATTCAGCGATTCTTTTAATCTTCCCATATATAACAAACACACTGCCATATTATTAGCAAGCTGGGGGGAAAATTTCATCATATTAGATATTTTCAAGACTAATTTCTACATATAATCTATTTTATTAAAATGTGTATTATTTTAAACTACATATAGTATATGGGGTAGTATTTCAACTAAAGTGCTGTTTTGAGCTCTCTGCAGTCATAAGTATTCATTAGAAAGCTATGAAGTTTCTGGAGCATACCAGTGAAGTGTAACTTTCTTATATTACTGTCAGCATGGTTGTTGTTACATCTCAAAATTGACAATGTATGATAGGTTGAAAGGAAAGTCTCTGCTGCAATATAGTCTAGTGGCAACATCAATCACTTCTGCAGTTTTAAAACTGAGTTTGTTGATGATTTTGGCTTTATCCCATCCAGTTATTAAATTTGCATTTAATGAGTTTGGATCCTTCATGGAATATTTAAGATATGCTATATTCATTGACGTAATGGTTGGTGCTAATTATAAATATATTTACGAAATGTGGTTGGTAGACATTTTGTAAATATCTTTATTCTTGTTGATAATTTCCTAGATGTTTAACTAATATATTGAGATAATAAAGTAAATCCTTTGAAAGAACTGATGTGTATGAGATAATAGGAGAATGTTTCATTGAATTTAGTTTTGTTTGATTCTTGCATTAGTAGAAACTTTACTTTCTCAGAAATAACTGCAGAATCTTTTTTTATTGATTTTCTTGATTAAGTTTTCCAAGAAAACCAGAGTTGATCTATTGTTTGTTGCACTTTATACGGTGTATTTACATTCATTTTACTACACGTGAAGAACATAATTCTTTAGTTTACTTTAAGTAAAAATAAAAAGCAACTGTTTTATGGGGTTGAAATGTAAAAGAATTATACACTGGTTATCATAAATTAAGGGAAAATCACAAAAATCACGATTACTGAAAAAGTTACATGTAGAATTTAATGAAACTTTCCCACAATATACAACACATAGTAAGGTATCAAATAACATAAAAAGAAATTACCAGACAAATATGGTAGTATAGAATTAGCACATGTATAAAATGAACAAATCAAAGGTGTCAGTTTGCTATAGGAAAAGTACCTTCAATATGGAATATGATCGCCTCTAGAAGCAATATAGCACATACACCGATGTGTGATGCTTTCAATTATGCGGTCTATCAGTTCCATAGGAAGCGAGAGCCATTGCTCTTGCAAAGCAGTTGCAAGCACGACAAGGGTCTGAGGGGGCGGATTGAGAGTAACTAGACATCTCCCTAAAGCATACCAAACGTGCTCGATAAGATTCAAATCCGGGGATCGAGCTGGTCACTCCATGCGCATAATTGTTTCCTGTTGAAGATAATCATCTACGATGCAAGCCCTGTGTGGTCTTGCGTTGTCGCCCTGTAACAGGAAAGCATCACCTATTGCCCCGCCATATGGATGCACATAAACATTAAGGATGTCATCTCTATAAATCTGAGCATTCACGGTTCCCCTTGGTCTGTGCGTCCACCCAAAGAGATGCCACCCCAAACACAGACACTGCCCCTTCCATATGCATCTCTTTCACGGATGTTTGACAGATGATAACAGGTTCTAGGTTCTCTCCATATTAAATAACACCTACTATTGCTTTCTAGACTAAACCTGGAATCATCCGTAAAGAGAACCGACCTCCATTGATGTCAGTGGGCACGACAGCATGTCCCATGTCCAGTGGACATGCTGTCATGCCCACTGAAAATGGTCACTCCTTTGGTGTGGCTTGAGTGGCACACAAATGGCTGGCCACCTTGCATACAGACCACCTTCGTGAAGCCTTCTACGCACAGTTGACGTTGACATGAACCTTCCAGTGGCTGAAGCAAGGGAGGATCTAAGAAGAGTCGGAGTATTGGTTCTATTCCTGCGTGCACATAATGTCAAATATCGGTCATCGGCGCTCGTCGTAGCAGTTGGCCGTCCTTGGCGGAACCTCCTAGATGCCGAATCTGTGGTTTGAAATTGCCTCCAAAGTCTATGAACCACAGAAGGACTCACATTTAGCCATTTGGCCACTTCTGTTTGACTTTGTCCTGTCTCTAGTCTCCCAATGGCTCTCCATCGCAGTTCTGCAGGCAAATGATACCTGGAAGTCATTGTTACGAATTGGCTATCTCAGATTTCTGTTGTCACTGTCACAGTGAAATATGTGGGCTTGCTCTCAAACATAGACTTTTATACTCCTCGCAGATGACGTATTCCGAAAGCAGCACCACTAATTTGCATATCACAGTTTTACTTAGCTACTCTTACTTGGAAACATATTCAAATTTTACACGGTTTGGCTTATTTTTTGAGGGAGTTATCGTTATTTTTGTGATTTTTCCTTAATTTATGATAACCAGTGTAGGATTATTGCTGGGTTGCCAACAATAATGGTATGGTAGCCTAATGTCTTCACTTCATAAGATCAAGATATTGAATGTTATTTATAACTTCTCTGTTGATCATAATTTGTACCTTAGGGAAATTTTCTGAAATAAATGAAAGCAGAACTGTTAGTTTGTTTTCTGACCTTCTTATTGGTTGTAGATCTGACTGCTGGATCTAAACACAATAAAACTGCAGAAAAAATGGAAAGCTTCACAAATGTTGGTAATAAATTTGGATGTAATTTTCAGTTTTTCAACAAAATCCTTAAAACTCATAGAGAATCATGGATGGAAATAAGGATTTAACATCCATTTCATACACAATTTTATAGTGTCTACAGGCAGTGAGCAAAGCTACAGAAAGCAAGAATGTCTCTTAGCATGCCGGTGTCACCCATTTGGGCTGAAATTAATATGCAACACATGGAAAACTTTATTTTCACCAAGTTGTTCTAAAACCCCACTTTTTGGAAGAGATATTTCGATGAAATCTTTGTCCTGTCTAAACATTCAGAAGACGAACAGAAAATACTGCTTTCATTTACATTAGAAAATTTTTACACTTTAACATTAACAGAAATGTTAATAATAGCATTCAATTTCTTGATCTTCTGATCTTAAGAATTGGTGGCATTCTTTAGACTACAGTCTCAACTAGCAACCTCAAAACAATCCCATATGATTCCTTTTCATTTATTCTCATAAAACTGCTGCTTTCAATTTTTATTTAAAATGAGCTAAAGAAAACCCTGTCCTAACACACCTGTCCTACACCCAAATTTTACGAGAAATATAAATACATTTTATAAACTGCAACAAATAGACACTGTCTCAATTTTGTAGAAAAGCTTTTCAAGGAAATCAAACTTCTGCAGTTATTTCTTAGCAAGTGAAGTTGCTACTAATATAAGAATAAAACAGAAGTAAATTCACTAGTAATATTCTCCTATTAATCCAATCATTCCATGCATGAGTTCAATATTAAAAAGATTTGGTTAAAAAATTTAATAACTCCAGCCCCCATCTGTCTGGAAATTGTTACGAACAGACAAATTGAGCACCACAGCAATCGGTACGTCAGATATGAATGAATTCAGTTCATAAATGAAGATACAAACACAAACTCAATATACTATGGTTTGAAATCTACAGTTGTCAAGCACAGAAAAGATGTTTACAAAACGCCTGCCAACCAGCTGATCTCTGGTTAAATACTAACTTGAAACTCAATAACTGAATGAGAAAAGTCAAAATGATTAATATACCTTGGCTTTAATCAGAGAAATGCCAAAAATCTTAACTAGAGATAGTTGCAACAAAAATGCAGCCATACATTTGGATGTCGATTCTGCAAAGCGGAGCATACATCTCTGATCAAAAGTTGTGAGGTAAGGACTTTAGTGGACATGGTATATACAGTAGACACCACTTTTATTGTGATTGCAGTTAATGCTATCTATCAGATATTGTTATCTATTTGCCAAAGTTCTGCCCATTTGTAGTATATGAAAATATGGAAAATACATCGTTTATTGTTATCAAAAATTTGGTTATTATGATTGAACTAAGGTAGATTAAATTTTTAAAACTAAATAAATTCCAATAAAAATACCAAGTAAAAGATAAATTCACCAAACAAGGTGAAAATAAGTTATAAAAATTTTCAAGTGAGGGGTTAAGTTGCCAGACTGCTTTGTTTCAATTTCAGTCAACCATTTAAATTTATGCAAGGAAACAGCCTTAGTTTGACATAGATTTTGAATAACCCTATCGACTTTTAGAGCCATCAGACAGGTTTTTGTTCAAAAGTAAAAGAAATTTTGCAGAATTTTTTCTTTTCTGATGGGGAAAAAATTAGTTAGAAACATCTAAAACAAAAATAAGGAAGCTCTTATTCTCAATTTAAAATTTTACATGAGCATGTTCTCTTCCAATGAGTGATGCCTTCCAAGTAATAAAATTAGGGATGCAGTATTGGTCCAATAATTTTCAGAAACATATGAACAGGTCTTAAAATAACTTTTGCATTTTTCCTAATTAAAGTGCTGCAAAAATAACTATTTATATGTTCTTGATATTTTTTAATTAAATTAGTTTAATTCCATTGCTGTTTCGAAGAATATTTTTTCCCATCGTTTAATATCAAAATAGTTGTGGACAAACATGGTTGCATTAAGTGGTGCTTACTGTACATAACTTCAAGAGAACTGCTTCCATTATGATTTTGAATTCAGAGGAAGAACATACTTTAGAGATGATGGCATTTTATCATTTGTAGCAATTTTGGTCTTTGAGAAGGTGTAAGGAAAATTACAGAGAAATCTGAACAGAATAATTTTCCTTTGAACCTGGAAGAAGAAAAGTGCTTTGAGACACAAATAATGAAAGGTACAAATGGAAAAGTTAAAGTATCAAATTCCACATCCAGCCTTAGCATACAACAAAGATTAGGTGAGTCTCACAAGATTCTCTGGAATATCCTATATTATCATCTCTACAAACTTTATTTAACAGATCTTGCCTAATGATGTGGTTGCATGTCAAATGTAGAGTTCCTTGTTGTAAGATCATATTGAATGGAACTTTTTATGGAAAGATGAGATGCATTTTCATTTGTATGATGCAATTAATATGTATTAATTGTGTCATCTGGGCTATAGAAAATTCCCATTCTTTTCTTTAATTTCAGTTGCATTCAACTAAAGTTTCATTCTTGGACTCTTTTACTTTAAAAAAGCTCACTTCCAAGGTCAACAAAGTTTAATGATGGTGCTTCGTAACATACTCTGTCACGAGGGACCGTTGCAGAATTCCATCATTCTGACACTGCAAGCATGTAGAATAATTAGCTCCAAACAACCAATAGTGTTAAATTTCAGAATTACTTTTTTCTTAATATTTGGTCCACTGGATTCCTAGATCTAAATATCTGTGACTTTTGACCCTGTAGCTATCTGAAAGATTGCAATGATAACATATTTACTAGATATGAAATACAACATATCTATAGAAGCAAAATCTGATTACTCCACCATCTAAGTAAATTTCTTTTTCAGTTGCTCAATCTTTCAAAGATACTTCTAAGACTTTAAAATTTTCTGATCAATACTTACAGCTATAGAGAGCTTCTAATATCAGATATACTAGTTAGGAATTCACTTAATATCTTATTTTTATGACTAAGAACATCAATACCACAAAAATTTCCTTTAACAGAAATTTGTTAGTTAATATTTTTATAGTAAGAACATTAACCATACCCATTAAAACATGCATCTCCTTTCAAAACATATAATTTTTTTAAATAATTTCTGAATGAGAAGTTTGAAAATTTCATTTATCTTAGATAATGAAACAATTATTTATGCATCTAAAAACTATCACTTACAAAAAGTTTAACAAACCTTAATTAACAGTTTTTTGTATTATCATTTTAGGAGAGGGGGGGGGACTATAGATTCACGTTACTTACCATAGCATTACCAGGAGATATGGAGTAGGCTTCTTGGTAATACTTATATGCTTCTTCACTATTATTAAAAGCAATAGCAAGCAAAGCTCTGAAAAAAAATATAAAGTTTAAGATTAATTTCAATAGTAATATTAATGCAGTTTAAAAAGTTTTATTTATAGCCTTGATAAGTCATCAAATATATTAAAGTTGTATATCATTCAGTGTATGAAGGAAAAAGCACAAACAATATGAAACCCATGCACAATTCTAAGTGAAGATTAAACACACTAAACTCAATTATGTATGCATGGGAAACAGATAATTTAGGTATTTAACCGGTTTTATTTAGCTATTTTACTTATCATACAGTATAACAATTTTTCTATACACTCAACAGCCACTCTTGTTATTTCACCTTAATCTTTATACTCAGCTGGCTTTGCTTGAGTCAATTTCATCAAGACTGTCTTGGTTTGTTAAAATCCTACAGTTCTCAATAGACACTTCTGCATTTCTTTGCCTACATTTTCAAATCTTTAGATAACAGATTTAATTTCAGTGAGGCCTGATTATGTTACCTCTTCATCAATAGAATCTTTTTATTTAACACGTTCACTGCCAAGTGACATTTTCAAAAACAGTTTCACCACCAGGGCTGTGGAGTCGGTAGGGAAAATGTCCGACTCTTGACTCCTGGAATTTTAACGACTCCCTCATATATATATATATATATATAAATGTAAGATAAAAATATATGAATCAGAATTATAACTATAAACATTAATTCTTAATCTCTATTCTAAAATCGTAATAACTTATCTGCATTGCGTCATTCAAATTAATCATGCGATCTTACATAACCATTAATACCAGATGCCTCTTGACGACCAATCACCGAATTGTAAACCAAAACTTTTCTCTTCGCGGCTTCCATCTGTCATAACTACGCACTTCAGCTTTTGCTCTCTACTTTGCTAAGATATAATTTTGCTGGCTTGCTTTCTATCTCAACAATATCTAAAATGTAAATCTTCTGTGGAAAGGCACGACTAGAGTGCCAAGTGATCTGTGGCCACAAATATCAATTGGAAATAAAAAATGGAATTAAAATTGCCTCGACTGCCAAGTTCTTTAAATACTACACAATCAAAATTCTTCTTCAATATGGATCTAAGCACGCATCGACACTGCTCCGGCTTTTCCTTGTGCTTTTATTATGACAATTAAGCCGGTAGGATAATTTCCTGCAGCCTGAAACTTCAATGGAAGATTTAGTTCAGCTCTACAAATCATCGTTTTGTGATAAATCCAAGATAATGTGAAAGAAGTGAATCATCAAGTTTGTTTTTTCAGTGTTTAAAAAATAACAGATCATTCTTCTGCTGTGGTGTTTTGCAAGTGCTTCAAAAAAATAATTATGCGTAGTGTTTACAGATTGAAAGTAATCTCTCAATAAATTGAGAAGTTCGAATGCCTAGTGAAGGAAATCATCAGTGAATTATCGTTTAGGAATTAAGCAATACAGCGGGTTCAAGGTCGATCTGAGTTACTGTTTGCAAGTATGTGTGATAGAAAATTATTTGCACTTCCGCTTTTTCAACTGATAAAAAATTATAACATTCGTGTGAATCTAGCTCAGGAACTAAATTATTTAATGTGCTGCGAATTCTATAGTTTTCATTTCAACATTGGTTAAAATTTCTGCAATTTGTTTTGAGAAAATCTGAAATTCTTGTTCATTAATTTTTCTAATTTTTCATAATTATGTGTGAGCAAATTAAGTAACGAATTTTAAGCTATTTAAATTATTCATAGGGAAGGCTTAAGATAAGTTTTTATGTTTTTGAAATTTTGTTGAGAATTTTGAATACGAATTTTATAATTATTCTAAAAATAAAGATGTTAAAAAAAGTGAAATTAGTACAGATAAGTAATATGAAATTATGGTACATGCATGTATGCATGCTAAAATTTATGGGTGATTGTATGTTAAATTGTGATGTTAATGTTAAATAGTATGATGAGGGTCTACTGGTTCCTTCAAACAGAGGCCTGTAAATTACCTCTGTACAGTTCTTCCTTTTACCCTCTTCATGCAAGATAATGTTGGAGGCTCTCAATTTATGAAGTGCATGTAATTTTTTACATTATATTATTGTATTTTTTTTATAATGGAATGTATTAGTGGCAAGTTCTCAAAATGGCCAGTTACCTTAATGCAAGGAATGGAGGCCTTTTCAAGTAACTGCCTAGGCACCCTGGGCTACCAGTGCAGAGAACACGCTGGCTAGCTCAAGCGGACAGCCCTATTGATGGAATATGTTTGTTTAGAAGAATTGCGAGGCTTCCAGTTTGGTAAAATCAGGAATTGTAAATGAAAGATGATAACGGTGAAACCATAAATTCTGAAATCTTAATCCTATTATTTATGATGTTAAATTTAAATTTATCAGTATGGAAATAGGTATCATAAAAATATTTATGTGCATTACAATTTAATTATAAGTAATGATTATGTAAAAGTTTATTTGTGATATTCTGCGATAACAGAACTTTCTCTGAAGAATTATGATTATGTGAATTCTCAACAAAAAGACTTTTGGACTGAAATGCTTAAAAATTCCAGTAGGACTTTAAAAATTAAAAATTTACTTTAAAAAATTGATATTTATAAATTATACTTTACAGGACAAAAATTTTATGATTTATGTTTTTGTTTACATTTGCTAGTGCTTTAACTCTTTCTCTTTAAAAAGACTTCTCTATCGCTGCGCCTTTTTCTTTTTGAAGGGGGGGAATATGTAAGATAAAAATATATGAATCAGAATTATAACTATAAAACATTAATTCTTAATCTCTATTCTAAAATCGTAATACTTTATCTGCATTGCGTCATTCAAATTTAATCATGCGATCTTACATAACCAGTTAATACCAGATGCCTCGTGACGACCATCACCGAATTGTAAACCAAAACTTTTCTCTTCGCGTGCTTCCATCTGTCATAACTACGCACTTCAGCTTTTGCTCTCTACTTTGCTAAGATGTAATTTCGCTGGCTTGCTTTCTATCTCAACAATATCTAAAATGTAAATCTTCTGTGGAAAGGCATGACTAGAGTGCCAAGTGATCTGTGGCCACATATGTCAATTGGAAATAAAAATGGAATTAAAACTGTCTCGACTGCCAAGTTCTTTAAATACTACGCAATCAAAATTCTTCTTCAATATGGATCTAAGCACGCATCGACGCTGCTCCAGCTTTTCCTTGTGCTTTTATTATGACATATATATATATATGTAAACATATATACATGGGTTACAGCTTATTTTTTTAATATAAAAGAAGTAATAGATGCTACAGAAAAAAAAAAAAAAAAAAAAAAAAAAAAAAAAAAAAAAAATTGATGCCATAGCAAATTATTTATATTAATTAGCATTTATTACGAAATAGAAAAACTGGCATTAGTTGTTTCTAAGAAACAGTATAGCTTCAGCAAGATCTTTGTTGGAGGCCCATAGATCCGATTTGATAAATTTCAGAGCTGTTACTGTTAGAGCTACTTCTTTTAACTTTTCAGGATATATTTTTATAAGTTCTAAAAGAGGTGTCTTGCGAGCACAATCCTATTTCTTCAAAGGCCATGTAGAAATCTTGTTTGTATTTTTTTCATTTTTATATCTAAAGGCTCTTGGTTCTTTATTTTCATTCGCTTTGCTTTAGCCCTTTTAATATTATCTAAAAATATTTCTTAAAATCTAATTCATCACTAGAAGTGGATGATAGAGACTCAATTGCAATGTCTGCAGTTTGACTGCCCTGATTTGAATTCTCCAATTGTTCTGAGAATAATTTCATTCTTAATGAGATGACTTTCTTTGCCTTTTTAATTTGTTCGTCATTTAAGAAAGTTTGGTGTTTCGGATCTATCCCAGCAAGATCTCATAGTCTAGCAAGCTAGTTTCTCTTTTCTTTATTGAAGAAATGATTCCTTCTGCAATAAACCCTCCATTTCAGAAAGAACAAACATCCCATTCTTCCGTTCTCGCCTCCTGTAAATTCTTCAGATTGCAGCTTTTTTTTGTGGCTATATACTGGGTAGAAAGAAGAGTTTCCAATTCTGCAAGATCATTCCAACAGTCTTTCTGTTAGTGAAACATTAGGATTATCTACTCCTTCTAAAAAAGTTCTTAATTCTAAAAACTCTTTATCATCAAATATGTACTTCCTTATCACGTTGCTTGATCAATAATTGCTCCTTTTCCTGCTCACTTCCTAAGAATGGTATCAATTTTAGGAGTTCTTGCTGCTATTGCTGCTTACCTAAATTTACCAGTGGGATTTGTAACTAAATGAATCAGTTTAATTGCTAATGACAAATATCACATCCATCCTTATATTTGAGGTACGTGCGGGTAACGTGCTTACAAAAGTATAGATAACATTACCTAGAAAAGTAGGCATATACCATTAAGAATGAGATTTAATAACGAGAAGTAATATAGATACATAATAATGGCTTAAGGAAGCGTACAGTCCCAACACAGATATGGCTGCCGAAGTTTACATATCACGTTGAAGGCACACGACTGGAGTAGTTTCACAGATGCACAGACTGAAGTCATTACTCAGAACTGGCCGGGAAAACTCATCGCTCCCATCAGCCCTTGGGTTGCCATACAGGCTTACTTTCTTTGTTTACTGTTTCGCCAATTGGCGGTTTTCTCTAGAGTTTTTGAGTCTGTATCACCTGTTTGGCGCTGCCACTGCATACTCCCTCCGCAGTGTCAACAAAATGTGACATACCGATGCGAGGGTCGGATTAATCATCCAGAACGGGTGATACAAATTTCCAAAAGTTTTTTTTCACACTCTTGGGAACAACTTGGGAAGAGTTCATGGTTACAAAAGTGGGTTTCAGTCTATCTATGGAGATCGTTTGCTTAGTCCCTTTTATTTCGAGATCAAATGTTTTATCTCGTCTTTCGAGCACTTTAAATGGCCCATCATAAGGAGCTTGCAGTGGTTTTTTAACTCCGTCGAATCGAACAAACACATGCATGGACTCGTGAAGTCATGGATGAACGAAACAGGTTCGCTGACTGT